ATATTAGTAAAATTAATTTTCGAAAAAAAATCAATTTTTCAAAATCATATGAAAATTACCGCCATTTTTTTTTAATAATGAAATAATTTTTTTTAATATGATTCCTCTGAATATTCTGCATATTAAGATAAGATATAAAAAATCAATAATTTACTTCTATACTTTATATTAACACATTTTAACATGAAATATTAAATAAACTTGCAAACTATTAACCTTTTAATAATCGTATCTTAATTCTTTGAACAGATTAATGAGAGGAATCAATTGGCGTACAGAGACAGCACAGTTGCTTTTAAAAAAATAATAAATAAAAAGAATAATTTTTTAAATAAGCAACTATGTATTGCGTGCGTGCGTGTGTGCGTACGCGCGCGCGTGTGTGTGTGTGTGTATGTGTGTGTGTGAAATAATTAATGGAAATTGTAATTATACAATAAAATAAGTCATATTAATAAATAGATTATATTTAATGGAAAAAAAATTATCCAAATAATAATAAAAAATATAGAAATATTTTGGATGGAAATAGAAATCAGCAAATATAGTAGTGAAAATATATAGTAATAGCAATGTCAAGAAAGATTATTATTAAGATCGGAGGGAATCAATTGATTGATTGATCTTATTAATTATTTTTTCACGCGCATGGAATAATATATAATTTGTCTCTGAACATATTATAGTGTCAAGGGAAAACACAAATGTATAATATAATGATTAATATATTTGACGTTTTAAAATGCTTTTTATAAAAAGAAAAACAATACGTAATTTTTGCAATTATAAGAATAACGTGTTTGCAAAGCATAAAAAATACGTATATTATAAATAAAAAAGATTTTTAAATTGATATATTAGAACACATGCTAGGTATTAACAATTTATACATGCTAGATACTAATAATTTAAGTAAAAAAGATTTAAGTGCTTTGATTTCATTCATAAACCTACGTAGGAATTAACACTGTAAATATACAAAAGTAAAACATTAAAGATATATGACATACCTGTTGTTTCTTTTGATTTAATTTGTTACGTTTTATAACTTCTTCGGAAGTGTTTAAAGCTTCTGCTGCAGCAGCCTCTAATCTACGACGCTGTTCATTTTCTTGATCCGCTGCCTATAGATACATTTTATTGTTCAATTTATGCAGTAATAAATAATTTATTACGACCATATAACATAAATATACAACAAGTAAGAAATAATGTCTATAATGATTGAAGCTGGATCTTAAATGATTTTTAAATAATTCCATGTGATTCTTTATATATCACATTTGTAGTCTCTGAAATTTCACGCTAAATTAAAATTCCAACTTCGACCGTTATAGACATTATTTTCTTTATTGTTTATTTAACTTGTGTATTCATTATATACTATTGCATTTCTAACAAAACTATAGTATACATTAAAAATTTGTATAGCTATTAGAATGTAATTAGAATGTTACCAATGTACCTTAAATGCTCTCGCGAATCTAACAAGAAGAGAGAAAAAGGTGTTGGCATCAGCTTGTCTCGGGCTTTCTCCAAAAAATTCAACACATTCTCGGAATGCTTCGCCGGCGGTACGTGCGTCAAGTTTTAAACGACGTAATTTCTCCTCAGAATTATTCAAAAAATCGCGCAATACTGTATTGTGTTTCTCTTTGCCGCGTAACTCAAACTCTTTTCGCACAAGGTCCATACCTTTCTCCAGTTCGTGAACATCAGTTGTTATATTCTCTAGTGAAACTGAAATTGTTATATAAATATATATTTTGTATGTGTGTGTACATATATATGTGTGTGTGTGTGTGTGTGTGTGTGTGTGTGTGTGTGTGTGTGTGTGTATGTAGTTGTGCAATAGAAATAAACATTTTAAATAAGAACAAAATTTAATCAAATTTTATACCAAATACTATTTCATTAACTTATTTTTATATAATTTGTAATTAAATACGAAGATTCCTATATTATAAATAATCAAATAAGACGTACCTGTCGCAGCTTTGTCGATGTACATTAACTCTGATTCAAAATTAATAAGTTCTGGAAACTTTACGCGTATCGTGGCAACAATATAATGCAAAAGGCACATCCTTTTATCAGTCGATTTCGTATCTAATAATGTATCTAAGCTTTGTAATTTGAAGCCATACGCAGGGCCCCGTTTGCTACTATTTAGGTAGTTACCAAAGGCAAGAATAATTTCTAATACTGATCTTAACTTCTTTGAACTCTTAACCGAACTGGATGCAGATATCACAGCATGTATTTGTGGCGTAATGAGATGTAAATTATCAAAAAAGTTTCCTATATAATTCATAATTGACAATTTGGTAGATATTCTTTCGACTTTACCAAGTTGCATCAAAAATTTATCTTCTTCAGTCAACAAATTGACATTCTTTTTTTCTATAATATATTCGCGGTAAGCCTTAATCTGAAATTAATTTATATTATTGATGTTGTATAAAATGAGATATTTTAATAATGATAATATCAAATATAGAACAAGCATACTTCTTGATCTGTAGGCACCATACGTTGCAATAATTCTACATTTTCAAGCGAAAGGATTTTTAAGTCGAGAGCATTTACCGCCATTATTACTTTCTCGATTGGCATTTCCATTTTTCGGCGAGATATAGCTAAAATTGAAAGAAGAGTGAGAAATAAGTGAAAAATTTATTTCTACGTATCACATATTATCTCATGATAAATAATTTATTTACCAATATTTCGTAATCTTGTGTGCTCCAAAAGTGATACATTTTCGGATTTCTTAAATCGTTTACTCGGAAAATTTTGAAGTCCATCGATTTCACTGTTACCATTGGCTACGTGTCCACTCATGCCGATCTTAAATCGCTCTTCAAAGTCAGAAAAGTCGATTTGATTATGCAAACGATCGTCATCCAGTTCATTGAAGATAGTACCCCGTACTTGATTAGGTTTAAGAGCAATCCAATTAAGTGTCGGAAGCTTGTACTTTGTTTGGACCTGAGAGAATGTAATCTTATGTCAAAGCAATAATCCGGGAAAAAACAACGAAACGATATAATTTCTTGCAATAAAAAAGAGCATAATGATCAATAAATAACTAAATGCACGTTTACTAAAAAATATATTAATATATTCAACATTGATTATTCAAGTGTTAATGCAATATAGAAATGCAGAATAAATGAAATTATACTTTTCGTTTGATAGTCATTGCTCCATTGGGTGCTTGCATCATGCCGGCAGGTGGTGGAGGTATCGGAACAGTTGGTGGTAACTTATGATCTCCCAGAGAAAGAGGTGCCATAGGAGGCGGCGGTGGACACGGTGGAGGAGGTGGAGGTGGTGGTGCAGGAGCCACTGGAAGCGCTTCATGCGACGTCGGTGACGGTGTCGAGGTGAATATCTCTGATGTAATATTATCCGAATTATTTAGAGGACTTGTTGCGGTGCCATTTCGTAGACTAGCGGCTGAAAAATCGATAGGCATTTGAACGGGATTCCGCTTTTGTTGTTTATTAGTTATCATATAAATACTTCAATTTAAGATACCTGATGAGCCTTTCGTTAATGTTCCCGTGAGAGTTTCCAGCTCGATAATTTTGTTCTCCAGGACACTCTGTCTTCGGGCAGAATCCTGTCTTTGCCTCTTTAAGGCTGCGAGTTCTTCCTCCACTGATCTACGTGTTTCCAAAGCCTCGGCATAATCCATTTTGATCGCACCTAACTCCGTTTCCAATTCCGCCAATTTTGCTAACGATTCTCTTTCTAATTCTGCCATACGATCATGTGCCTGTGTCAAACGCAATCAATT